GGCTCATGCCTGTAATCCTAGCACTCGGGGAGGGCAAGGTGGGCAGACTGTAGAGCTCAGGAGTTCAAGACCAGCCTAAGCAAGAGTGAGACCCCATGTCTATTAAAACAAAAAATTAGCTGGGTGTTGTGATGGGCACCTGTAGTCCCAGCTACTTGGGAAGCTGAGGCAAGAGGATCACTTGAGTCAAAGAGTTTGAGGCTGCTGTGAGATATGATGACACCATGGCACTCAACCCCAGGGTGACACAGTGAGACTCTGTCTCAAAAAAAAGAAATTTAAAAATCATTAATTATTTTTGAAAGAAGTTCAAAGCACGGTAAGTCTATTTTTTCCTTTTTTTAAAATCAACATAATTTAAGCATGCCACAAAGTTTAACTATAGGTTCAAGTGTGCAGTGAGATGAAAAAGGCTAAAAACCAGTTCCATAGAGACTCATGTCAGCTAGCCCTGAATTACTTCTTGTTATGGGAGAAAAACAAAAAATAATGAAATGGTTGAAATGAGCCAACATTTTTCCAATCTCTGTTACTTGCTAACCAGTTCCAGGGTGTCCACCATCAGCCATTTTAAACAGTGGGTGCAGCACAAGAAAGGAAGGAGCTGGTACACAGGCTGAGTCTTGGAGATTGATAAGAGCTGAGTCTGGAATAAGTAGGGTCAGACCCTCTGCACTTGATTCACTCACTCAAATCTTCATCCATGAAGCATTTCTTGAGCATCCACTCTCTATTAGGTCCTGTGTGAAATGTGAGAGGAAGATGAACAGGACAAGATCCTTGTTCTCCAGGCACTCACAGGGGGAAACAGAAAATAAAACCCCAGTACCAAACAGTGAAGAATGACAGGAACAAGCACCAGATGAGATGGGAAGTGACAGGATTGCAAGTGATAGGACTGCAGCATGTACAAGCTTAGCCCCAAAGCTTACAGACTCATATAACCAAAATGAAGGAAGGGAGCACAGAGGGAGAATGAGGACAGAGAGAACACACCTGAGCAAAGGCAGGGCACTGAGAAACATCCTGGTGTGAGCGTTGGCATAGTAGGGGCACAAAGCCCAGGAGCTGGAGTAGCAAGGAACAGGAGGAGCCTGTGGGCCACGTCATGAATGGGAAGCAATGAATGTTAGGACATGGCATGTGGATGTCACCATAGGCAATGGGAAGCCAAGAGGGAAGGGATTGTTAAAACAGGAATACAGGGTGAGATTTGGGTTTTGGAAGGGTCATGTTGACTGTGATGTGTAGGATGGATTAGGGAAGGGCAAGACTGTAGCCAGGGAGTCCCAGGAAGTTGCTACAATGATGCTGTTTTCCAAAAAATAATAGTGTAAATGGGACGATGATGTTTTGCACTTGGAGAGTGCCATGAACACAGCCAGAAAGGGTTATATCATGAGACAGTTTGGAGTCAGAATTGGCAGGTCTGTGATCAACTGGAGGTGGGCAATGGGCAGGGGAAGTGTGAAAGGGGACTTCCTGGCTTCTGATGGAGACAGCCAAGTGGGTGGTGGCATCATTTGCTGAAATGGGGAATGCAGGGTGAGGAGATTAGAGGGAGATGATTGGTTCAATTTGGGACACACTGAGTTGGAAGGGCCCTGGAGAGGCTCTGCTGGCAATGGCCAGGAGGCAGGTGGAGATTTGGGCCTAGAATCCAGGAAGGCCTAAACTAGAGAGAGAAATACAGAAGCCACCAGAATTTAGGACATTGATAATGTAAAATGATGGGAGTGGATGAGATCTCCAAAGGAAAGTACTTACAGCACAATTCTCAACAAGACATGCATGGGTAGCATAACTCCCTGGGAGAGCGTTCACTGGGGCGAGGGGTGCTATTCCAAAGTGCCTGTCCCACCCTCAATTCTAGTAAGAGAATGTGACTGAGGGGAATACTGTTACTGATGAGCAAGTGACTCAGGTAGAAAGAAATTAGAGACCACTGCTGAGAACAAGGTCAAGACAGAGCAAAGGAAGAAGAGCCCAAAAAAGAAAGTGAAAGGAAGTGAATGAGGAGATGCAGGAGAGCCGGTTTCCCCAGGTGGGGATAGAGTTCTGGTTCTTTGGACAGAGTTCTGGTTCTCTAGTCTTCCCTTAGTGTGCACCAGGGGTGCTGATAAAAAATATACATTCTTGCCCTTTGCCATTCTGATGCAGCAGGGACCTGAATCTGCATGCTAATGAGCTCTACAGGCATTAACTCTGGGGTCGAGAAGTTCATGAAGGTGGGCATGGTCAGCAGGCCCATGCCAGCAGAGAGGATGGGTCTAGCAAGCTGATGACTAACTAGGTCAATTGGATTGGGGACTTTAGGAGGTTGCTGGTAACCATGGAAGAGCAAATTTTGGTGGTGTAGTGGGAGGGGAAGCCAGATTGCAATGGGCTGAAGAGTGAATGGGAGGTGAGAAAGAGAAGACAGCAAATGTAGACCTCTTTGGGGAGAACTTTGGATGAGAGGTGGAGGCAAGAGCATCATCCCCCTCAAAGGCATCTCTTGGAGAAGTTGGCAAAGAGGATCAAGGAAATCTGGAGGCTGAGTCAGAAATTCTACCGACCCTCAGAATGTACACAGGAGGAAAGTTGGGAATCGGCAAGGGCCTAGCACACTTCAGGATGCCAACTCTCAAAACCAAGCCTATTGCACCTACCTTCTGTCTACCCACTCTAAATCCAGGCATCTTCCCCACCAGAACAATCTTTCCATAACCCAAATGTGATCATGTTGCTGCCCTACTTGAAACCCTCCAATAGCCACTTCCCCATTCTTACCTCACCCAGAGAGCACTCTAGTCCCTGAACCTAGTGTTCAAAACTCTTCTGACTACTTCCCTCTGCATCGTCACCCCTGTAACCACCCATCTATATTACATTCACCCTCCATCCAGGGCTGTGGGCCACCAGTAGTTCCCCAGTGAACTCTGCTGTCCATTGGCCTGTAGGTCATATTAGACTCAGCCAACTCAAGCACTACACTCTGAGTTAGTCATTCTCTTCCTGGAGAGAACCAGGACCTTGCCCACACCTCTACCATAGCACTGGTAGAATGAATTCTTCTCTCATCTATTTGTTCGGTAGGCTGTCCCCCTGTGCCATCTATGGGATCAAGGTCCTCATCTTACTCCTCTCTGAATCACCTGCACCTAGCCAGGAGGCTGTGCTGCCAGTAGGTGCCAGTAAATGTGGCAGTGAGGATTCACCCCCAGCACTGATCACAAAAAAAGTTTTAAATTAAGAAAAATAATAAATAAAAAATGAAAAAAAAATAAATTATGGAGTACCAAATTGACTCTTGATCCTCCAGTCTGTAGAATCTGCATGTTCTCCCCGTCCTGCTTTCCCTGCTCTCCATTCGTACCAATACTTTTAGATTAATTTTCTCTTTTCAATCTCCTACTTAATTTTCTCTTCCAACGGGAAGAATAGGCAGGCTCTGGACAACCGTGCCCCTCAGTCAGCTGGTACCTCGAATCTTTCCTTTAGCCAGTTATTTAACCTCTCTGAACTTTTGTTCAATAGGATTATGGATACTACTACCTAAAAGTATTGTGGTGAGAATCAAGGAAGATATTAACTATAAAGCCCTAAGTAAATGCTAGTTCTTTTGAGATCCTAAAAAGTGGTAGTTCAGTGTCACAACACCAAATTACGTTCGTTACTTCAATGGACTAAAGGCAATTCCCAAGGCAATACCGGTTTTTGAAGTTTGTTTCTCTAAAAAAGATAACTTAGACACGTCCCCAGCTCCTCCGGCACACGTAAGACGACTATAAGTGAAGCCCCGCCTCCCTAGCTTTAAGCCACGCCCCTTTCTGTGCAAACTCCTTTAGGACCTTTCAAGACTGATTGACATTTCTATTCACCAATAATAAGTGACATTCCTGTCAACGTCCGGTGAGGGGGCAGGACTTCCTCGCTGGTTGCTAAGACACTCTTTCGCTCCTTGACAACCCTGGCGGGGGTGCGCTGGCGACGGCCCCGGCTCCGGCCCCCGCGGGAGCAGGTGAGGCCCCGGGGCGCGGCGGGCAGCCAGGCTGGGAGGGCTGACCTGAAGGGAGGACGGGAGGCAACGTGGGGCGGAAGAGGCCTCGCCCACCGCTGAGGCCCCACCTCAGTCTCTCTCCTGCTTTGCTTTTCCCCAGCCCTAGGTCCTCCAACCCTCAACCCCCACCCCCACTTCGGGACCTGAGAGCTTTGTCGTGACAGATTTTCCTTCGCGACTCCGCAGGCCGCTCCTGTCCACCCACCCGAAGCCCTTCTAGCTTCGCGTTCCCACATTCCCCCTCCGTCCAACCATCACCCCCACACCTTTGTCCCCCCCCCCCCCATTTCGCTGAGTAATAACCTTCCCGCGGCTGGGACGGTAGTGGCCAGCCCAGACCACTTGACTTGGGAGGAGACGTACTGGGACTCCTGGCCGATTATTTCCCTTTGGATCTTAGTTTCCCTGTCTGCAAAGGAGTAGTTAGGTTGAGTGATCTCTAAGGCCTCTTCCACTTTGATTTTCTAGGTCGGATGTTGTCCCCCAGCATGTGCTCCCCATGGGAGGCACTGTGCATCAGAAGAACTTGGCATACCTAATTTGTATTCCCAGTTGCTGGACCCTATCAAGTTACCTAACCTCTTTGGACTCCAATCTGTCATATATAAAATCCGGTTTACTACAGTGCACCTCCTTTGGGAGTGATGAGGATATCATGAATTAAAGTACAAAGTCCAGCTCAGTGTAGATTCAATGTATTTGTTAGTTTCTTTCCTATGTCTCTTACTTCCCACCACATTTTCCTCTTTGGGAAGTGTTACCAACCCCCTTGGTTTGAGCTGTTATTTCTCCAGGTGACCCTCAGATCCATATGTCCCTCTCTAACCTTTCTCCTGGGCTTTCATGATTAGGGATACTTGGAGGGAGGCAGACAGAGATTATGTACCACATAACTGTTTTTCTGTCAAGGATGGACGGCGTATCTCATGATGGGCCCGTAAGATTATAATGGAGCTGAAAAAGTCCTATCACCTAGTGATGTCACAGCCGTTATAATGTCATAGCACAATGCATTACCCATGTGTCTGTGCTGATGCTGGTGTAAGCAAACCTGTGTCTCCAGTTCTGTAAAAATATAGCACCTATGATTATAGAACTTAATACTTGGTAATGAAAATAAATGATTTACTAGTTTATGTATTTACTTTTTAATCATTATTTTAGAGTATAGTCTTTCTTCTTACCAAAAAGAAGTTAACTGTAAAACAGCCTCAGGCAGGTCCTTCAGGAGTATTCCAGAAGATGGCATTGTCATAGGAGGTGACCTCTCCATGCATATTATTGCCCCGAATACTTCGCAGTGGACCAAATGTGGAGGTAGAAGACAGTGATACTGATGATCTTGACCCTATGTAGAATGTAGATGTAGGCTGATGGGTGTATTTGTGTGTTAATTCTTTTTTTTTTTTTTTTTTGGTGACAGAGTCTCACTATGTTATCCTCAGTAGAGTGCTGTGGCATCACAGCTCACAGCAACCTCAAACTCTTGGGCTTAAGTGGTTCTCTTGCCTCAGCCTCTCCCAAGTAGCAGGAACTACAGGTACCCCACCTGCCACAGCGCCAGGCTATTGTGTGTTATTTCACAACAAAAAAGTTTAACAAGTAAAAAAAAAAATAAACATATTTTAAAAAGAGACAAAAGCTAATAGATTAAGGATATAAAGAAAGTATTTTTGTATAGTTGTACAGTGTGTTTGTGTTTAAGCTAAGTATATTACAAAAGAGTACAAAAAATTCAAACATGAAAACGTTTACAAAGTAAAAAATTTACTGTAAGTTAATTAATCAATTATTTTGAAACAGAGTCTTACTCTGTCACCCTAGGTACAGTGCTGTGGCATCATAGCTCATAACAACCTCAAACTCTTGGGCTCAAGTGATCCTTTTGCCTCAGCCTTCTGAGTAACTGGGATTACAGACTACCTCCACCACACCCAGGTAGTTTTTCTATTTTTAGTAGAGACAGGGTCTCACTTTTGCTCAGGCTGGTCTGGAACTCCTGAGCTCAAACAGTTGACACACCTGGGCCTCCCAGAGTGCTAGGATTATAGGAGTGAACCACTGCACCTGGCCAGGTTAATTTATTATTGAAGAAAAGGATATTTTTTGTATAAATTTAGTGTAGCCTAAGTGTAGAGTTTCCTACAGTAGCGCACAGTTATGTCCTATGCCTTCACGTTCACTCACCACTCACCCCGACTCACCACAGCAACTTCTAATTCTGCAAGTTCCAGTCAATTGTAAGCACCCTGTATAAGTGTACCATTCTTTTTTTTTTTTTTTTGAGACAGGTCTCAAGCTGTTGCCCTCAGTAGAGTGCCATGGCATCACAGCTCACAGCAACCTCAAACTCTTGGGCTCAAGCAATTCTCTTGCCTCAGCCTCCCAAGGAGCTGGGACTACAGGCACCCTCCACAACACCTGGCTAGTTTTTGGCTGCAGTTGTTGTTTTAGCTGGCCCAGGCCAGGTTCTAACCCACCAGCCTCGGTGTATGTGGCTGGCGCCCTACCCACTGAGCTACAGGCGCTGCCAAGTGTACCATTCTTTATCTCTTATATCATATATTTACCTTTTCTAAGTTTAGATAGGTTTAGACACACAAATACTTACCATTGTTACAGTTGCCTACAGTATTCAGTATAATACCAGGCTTGTAGCCCCAGGAGCAATAGGCTGTACCAGACAGCCTAGGTGTGTAGGAGGCTATATTGCCTGGGTTTGTGTAAGCATACTCTATGACATTCACAGAGTGATGAAATTGCCTAATGACAAATTTCTCAGAACAAATCCCCTTCACTAAGTGACAGTATGACTGAATTGATGTAATACTTGGACTGATGGCTTCCCTTCTGTCCCCTGAGAAACCATGATTTGATGATTTCCCTCCTCCTGACTAGATACCTCTATTTGCATTCTCTCCTGCAACTTAAGCTCAGTAGTTTTCAGATCAGATTGGCCTGCTTTACTCCCTACCCATCTGTCCTTGTGAGTGGCACCACCATCCTCTTGGGGCATCATTCTTCACTCTGCTATGCCCATCACGCTCAGGCAATTATCAGGTGGTTTTGATTCCACCTCCATGTGGAGTTCACATCCTCTTCATTCCTGAAACTTCCACCCTGGTTCAATTCTATAAGGCCTGTCACTTGGGCCATTGCTGTAGCTTCCTAAATGTTGTCCTGCCTCTTGTCTTTTCTGTCAACCTAGCTCACCAGAATAATTGTGCTAAAATACAACCGTGTCACCTACAACCAGGTAACCTCCAAAGGGCTTCCCCTTTCTCCACAAAAGACATTCACACTTGTTAAGCCTGTGTTTGGAGCCCTTTACTTCTACAACCCAATCCCAGCGTTTTCCCCCAGCCATATTCCTCCCTGCTTTGCCAAATTCTATTCTCCAGCCAGATTGGACTGTTAGACTTTCCCAGAAAAATGCTTTGCATACCTGCCTGGAAGGTCTTCCTCACCTTGCCCACCTGTCAAGATTCCTACTCACCTTCAAGGCCTGATTAATGTTACATCTGCCACTAACTTCTCTTCTTATCCTCTCTCACTCCCTCAAGAGTTTTCCTCTTCCTATGTCTGCATCTATCTGGTGACACTACATTCTGCCATAACTATAGTTAGTTCCTTGTGTATGTATGTTGGTCTCCATATTGGATTGTAAGCTCCTTGAAGACAGGGAATGTCTTTTGCTTATAGTGGTATAGTTGAAAAGCATTATCTGTGAAGTTGTATATACCTGGAATGGAATCCTAGCACCTCCATTTATTAGCTCTATGTATAGTCACTTGCCTTTCCCCAGCCACCTTGCTCTTCAATAAAACAGGGATAATAGGGCCCTTCTGACAGAGTATCTGGGGGAAGTGAGATCTTGTATATAAATACCCATTCTGGCTCGGCGCCTATAGCTCAACCGGCTAAGGCGCCAGCCATGTACACCTAAGGTGGTGGGTTCCAATCCCCAGCCCGGACCCGCCAAACAACAATGA